GAACCCCAGTTCCGATAGCATTGAACTCCAGTTCTGGGCAAGACCCTGGGGACTCAGGCTCATACAGGGGAGTCTGAGCTATAAGGCGGAAACTTAGGGGAGTGGCAAAAGGCAGTCCCTGGGGCGCACACATTGCGCGCAGAGGACGGACTGTTGACTCTGCTCCTAGATTGCCCTAGCAGGAAGGAGACAAAAGCTCCGGACTGTGCTGAGCCCCAGTACCAACTGCACTGAACCCCAGTTCTAGGCCAGACCCTGGGGATCCAGGCTCATACGGAGGGAGTCTGGGCTGTAAGGCGGAAACTCAGGGGGGCGGCGGAAGAAAGTCCCGGAGGCGCGCACATTGTGCGCAGAGAACAGACTGTTGACTGAAGCCAAGGTTGTAGCCTCCACCCTGAAACTCCGCCCCATCCAAGCTGAGCGCAGAGGCTTTTGAAATTTTCCAAGTCTAGTCAAATAAGGCTGTCTTGTGGCATAGATACAGCTGATCTTCATAGCCAATTGGCCTGGAGGTCATTTCCTCCCAGTGATACCAACAACAAGCACGGCTTAACTATAACAAGGCTGTACACACAGTTCACAAAAGGGGGCACCAAGAGTGTCCACCTCAGGTAACTGGGAGACTGACCCACAGAACCATATAGGACACTTTAGCACACAAAGCCACCCTACCAACTCCGGGAAGCAGTGAAATGCCGAGACAAGGAAACAGATCACAAATGAAAGAAATGGAGGACAATCGACTGGATATAGAGTTCAAAACCACACTTATAAGGTTTTTCAAGAACTTCCTAGAAAAGGCCGATAAAATGAGACCTATGAGAATATGAAAAGGGATCAACTAGAAATAATAAGGGATCAACTAGAAATAAAGAGTACATTGTCTGAAATAAAAAAAATATTATACAGAGTCCTAAAAACAGAATGGAAGATCGCAAGAATCAAATCAAAGATTTGGAACATAAAGAGCCAGAAGACATTCCGCAGAAGCAAGAAGACAAGAGAATCCAGAAAGTTGAAGATAATGTAAGAAACCTCTGGGACAACTTCAAGCGAACCAACATCAGAATTATGGGGGTCCCAGAAGAAAAGAGAGAGCAAGATACCGAAAGAATACTGGAAGAAATAGCGACAGAAAACTTCCCCCACCTGGGTAAAGAATTAGACTTACAAGTCCAGGAAGCGCAAGGAACGCAAACAAAAGGAATCCAAAGAGGACCACACCAAGACACATCATAATTAAAATTCCAAGAACAAAAGACAAAGACTATTAAAAGCAGCAAGAGCAAAGAAGGTAGTTACCTATAAAGGAGTACCCATATGATTGTCAGCTGATTTCTCAACAGAATCCATGCAGGCCAAGCGGGAATGGCAAGAAATATTCAAGGTGATGAATAGCAAGAACCTACAGCCAAAAATAATCTACCCAGCAAAGCTATCACTCAGAATTGAAAGCCAGATAAAGAGCTTTACAAATAAAAAAAGCTAAAGGAGTTCATCAACACCAAACCAGAATTATATGAATTGCTGAAGGGGGTTCTTTAGGAAGAGGAAGAAGATAAATTTAAAAATTATGAACAATAAATACGTAACTATCAACAAGTGAATCTAAAAACCAAGGGAATTAAAAAATCTGAAGAACAATATTAACTGGTGAATATAATAGAATCAGAAGTATGGAAGGGGAGTGAACTGATGATTCTCAGGGAAAAGGGGAGTGGGGCGGGGGGTGCGGGAAGAGCCTGAACAAAAACTGGGCATCTGTGGTTGAGGACAGTGGGGGTTGGGGTAAGGGCAGAGGGTGTTGTGGGAACCTGATTGGGGGGGGGGGAATGAACATTTGTAATAATATGAACAATAAAGATTTATTTTTTTTTAAAAAGGAAAAAAATGCTAAATGATAGCTTTGCTGCGTAATCTTGGTTGTAGGTCCTTGCTATTCATCACTTTGAATATTTCTTGCTATTCTCTTGTGGCCTGTATAGTTTCTGTTGAGAAATCAGCTGACAGTTGCATGGGTACTCCCTTGTAGGTAACTGTTTTTCTCTTGCTGCTTTTAAAATTCTCTCTTTGTCTTTAGCCCTTGGCTTTTTAATTATTATGTGTCTTGATGTGGGCCTCTTTGGGTTCCTCTTGTTTGGGACTCTGCACTTCCTAGTCTTATAAGTCTATTTCTTTCACCAGGTAGGGGAAATTTTCTGTCATTATTTCTTTAAATTTTCAATATCTTGCTCTCTTTTCCTTCTGATACCCCCATAATGTGAATGTTGGTACACTTGAGGCTCTTTACACTGTCTTCATATTTTTGGATTATTTTTTCTTTTTGTTATTCTGATTGTGTATTTTTTGCTTCCTCATATTTCAAATCACTTATTTGATTCTTGGAATCCTTTACTATTAAATCCTTGTAAATTATTCTTTATTTCATTTAGTGTATGCTTAATTTCTAGTGTATGCTTAATTTCTGACTGGTCCTTTTCCATGTCTTTGGCATTCTCACCAAGATCCTTAAAAGCCTCACTAAATCCCTTGAAGATTTCATGAAAATCCTTGATAATCTTATAACCATGGTTTTGAACTCTGCTTTTTTCTATTTCTTTCACTTGTGACATTTTCTTTATCTCTACAATTTGGCTGCTTCCCTGTGTTTGTTTCTATGTATTAGGTAGAGCTGCAATGTTTCCCAGAGTTGGTAGAATGGCCTGGTGTAGTAGGTGTTCTACAGAGCCCAGTGGTTCAGCCTCCCCAGTCTCTTGAGCTGGACACTCTAGATGCACCGTTTTGAGGGCTGTGTGCACAGTTTTGTTGTAGTTGAGACTTGATTGCTGTTGGTGTCACTGAGAGGAATTCACCTTCAGACAAATTGGCTGTGAAAACGAGCTGTGACTACAATGGGAGAGCAGCTGTGCAGGAAACACCCCTGTGGAGCAGGACTTGCTTCAGTAGGGTGATAGTGCTCACTGAGTCTGCCCCTTCAGTGTGTTGCTTGAGGAGGTGTAGAGTTGTAATCTGGTATGTCTGAAGCTGTCCACCAGGTACACTGGTTCTTGGGTCTCTAGGAAGATGCAAAGTCAGCCACTGTCTTAGACCATCTAGTAGGAGCTACAGAAAGATCTGAAGATTCTCCCATTTGTATTGGGTTTAGAAGTGCCCAGTTGAGGCCCAGCTTTGAAGCAAGGTAGGCTGGTGCTTGGTCTTGGGCCTTTTATGGATAGGTTTGGGGCATGCTGACACCAACTGCTGCTTGTTTGAGAGATTTTAGCAAAGTGTGAAGCCTAGCCAGGACAGGCCATTCATATGGAAAAACTGCTGCAAACAGCTTGGGTGGGGCTGCAAATTGGATATGGCAGAATTTCAGGGAATCACCAGGGCAGGGCAAACAGTGTGCTCCAGGTTGATGGGGACTCAGATATGGTTTCCAGTCAGCCCTGGGAGAGGGGAGGTCTTGGCTTAGGAACAATGATCTCTGCATGCACCTCTGTCTGATAGAAAGCCGCCCCCAAGTTCCTGCCCCAATGCCAGATAATCCAGTTCCTCTCCATATGTGTCTGGGTCCCCTAACGCCTCCTGGTACTGGAGTTCAGTGGAAACAAGTCCGAGTAAGTTTGTGCTTGGCCCTTTAAGAGGGACATCTGGGTCTTGGGCAGCCTTTATGTCCCTCAGTCCCAATCCCCACTGGTTTTTACAGCCCAAAGTTACGGAGACTTCTCTTTCCAGCTCTGGGCCCTGGGCAGGTAGTCTGTCGTGGGACTGGGACCTCTTGCTCCTCATAGCAGCCTCTGCGGAGACAATCTCCCTCTGGGTTAAAAAAATGGCCCCTGGGGGTGCCTGACCAGCCCCATCTGAGCCTCTGTTCCTCCTACCAGTCTCAGTGTGTTTTCTTATTTACTTCTTTACTTGTAGGACTTCCATTTAGTCAGCTTTCAGGTGGTTCTGAATGATGGTCGTTTTGTATTTTAGCTGTAATTTTTGATGTGGTTGTGGGAGACTATGAATACTGGTGTTTACTTATGCCACCATTGTGGTTCTCAGTAATAGAATATTGAATCAACCCGTCATGGAGTGAAAAATCTACCATGGCCAAACAATGTTGATTTTATCAATGAAAGATATTAATATCATTTTAAATACATACATTTTTGCATGTTATAATTTGACTAACCAGTAAGCATAATAAAAATTTAAATTTTTTCTAATGGTTTGCTTTTTTAATACCACCTTGAATGATCACTGTTTCTGAGAAGAAATCTATTTCCTTAGATTATTTTCCATGAAATGTTATTCTTTACCCTTACTTCAAGGACTACCTATGGCATGAAACTATCCTTCAGTCTTCTTGCACAATGAGTCTTAAATTATTGTAATTACAGATTGATGACCAATACAAGGTTTAAGTATACCGTATTTTTTGTTTATTTGTTTATAAGTCTACCCTTAGCACTTTTATTTACTTAGCATGTAAGTTATAAAAAACACAACTTGAGCCCAACCAGCATGGCTCAGTGGTTGAACGGTCGACCTATGAACCAGGAAGTCACAGTTTGATTCCGGTTAGGACACAGGCTCAATCCCTAGTAGAAGTGTGCAGGAGGCAACCCATCAATGATTCTCTGTTATCATTTATGTTTCTATCTCTCTCCTCTCCCTTCTCTCTGAAATCAATAAAAGTATTTTTTTTTAAAAAAATGACAACAAAAAACACAAGTTGACTATGTGCTGTTAAATGTTAAATGTTAAATGTTGATTTTAAAAAATTATAATTCTATTCCCTTTGAAAAAAATTAACTCTCCTAAAGCAAAGTTCTTATATTTGTCTACCCTTAGTGTACACAATGCCAAAAAATGTAATTATCCAATAATTAATTACTTATATTAGATTTCTAATTACTGTCACAATCTTGGCATCTTGTCCCCTTCTCCAATCAGGGTAACTTTATCCTTTGTCCAGTGACAGAAGAGGTCTGGATTATAATTAAGCCTAAATGTGTTTGCTATTTCAGGTTACATTTAGTGATGTGGCCATAGACTTCTCTCATGAAGAGTGGGGATGGTTAGATTCTGTTCAGAGGGATTTATATAAGGATGTGATGATCCAGAATTATGAGAACCTGATCTCTCTAGGTAAGCATATTATAATTTGCTTACTTTCACCTCCATATCAACAGAGGAGATTTTTTTTTTTTTCTTTTGGCCACTGATGGAATTGATGGAAATCTTCCTGAGTAAATGGCTGAATTTTTCTTTTACACCCCCAAGAAAATGTGTAGCTCTGTTGTATTCTGCCTGAAGCTTATCTTTCCTTTCAGGGAACATTCTTTAAACTGTCCTTTGGTATCTTTTGTGATGATGGCATCTCCCCATGAGGACCACAATTCAAACAATTCTATATTTTTCCTGTAAGCAGGTCTTTCGATACCTAAGCCATATGTGATCACTTTATTGGAGGATGGGAAAGAACCTTGTATGGTGGAGAAAAAACTGAGAAAAGGTATGTTTCCAGGTAAATCATGGTGAATCAGGCAAAATAGGTATTTGTTAAAGATGCTTGTAGAAAGGAGGAGGGGGTCATTTTAGAAAATCTTAGGGAGACTGTCTTCAGAGCTTCCCAAATATAACAAAATTGAGGGATCCTTAAACTTAGATTTCAGAATGACCATTCTCCATCTAAAATTATCTTTCTGTATTATTCATGTTATCTAATCAAAAGTGGAGGTTTTAGCCTGACTGGCATGGCTCAGTGTTTGAGTGTCAATCTATGAACCAGGAGGTCACAGTTTGATTCCTGTCAGGGCACATGCCCGGGTGGTGGGCTTGATCCCTAGTGTGGAGTGTACAGGAGAGGGCTGATCAGTGATTCTCTCTCATCATTGATGTTTCTATTTCTTCCTCTCCCTTCATCTGAAATCAATAAAAATATATTAAAATAATAATAATAAGTAAATAAAATTTTAAAAGTGGAGGCATGTTATTCTTTTTAAGTCCATTTAAGGAAAAATATACTGATGGTTTTATGTTAAGAAAAGCTGTGAATTAGATAGAAAATCACTTTTCCACCAAGGCTGAATTTCAGAGATCAAATATGAGCATAAGTGTTAGAGGAAATAAAGAATGTATAAGAAAATTTCTAAGAACAATGAAATCTTAAATTAATGACAGATTGATGATCAATACAAGGTTTAAGTATACTATATTTTCTAATGTCCAAGAAAATTAATGATTTTATATAGATACTACATAACTCACAAAAGCCTTAATTTTTATGAATCATAAAGTATATTTAGATTATTTTGTTGTCATTATAACTGTTTAATGCAACACTATAAATTCTGCATTTTAAGCATACTAATCTGACAGCAAATTGAGATTGATTAAAGATTGTAGAACCAAGGCTCTGAGATTGAATGTGTTCTTGCACATAAATATAGGCACAAAATATTGGCCTGGATTCCAGAATGCCTTTTGCATATTCTGCCGACAGTTTCATTTTTTTCCAAAATACTGATTGCCCTTAATTAAACCTGGTCCCTTATTGTACTCTGTTCCTGCCTCCTTGAGCTGTCTGTATTTTCTGTGCTCTTCTTTAACTTTTTTTCAGAAATAATTGAATATATTGTCAGAGCTATGTGTTTTCAAGCAGGGATGTGGGTGGAACTTTATTTTTTTATCCAATTCTATTTCTATCATAGAATTTTCTTCCAAGAAGAACGTAAAAGAAGTATTTTGCTTTCTTGATATTTTGCAGATTGGAAATTAAGATGGGAAAACAAAGAATTATCAGCAAAGGAGAATATTTATGAGGATGACTCACCTGAAACGGTAATAATAGAAAAAAATGATAAAACAAAGTTGTGAATTTTCAAATTTTAACAAGGACTGGGACTCTATAGGGAAATTGGAGGGAAAGCATGCAAATTAGGTAGAACATTTTATTTATTTAAAAAATATATTTTATTGATTTTTTTTACAGAGAGGAAGAGAGAGGGATAGAGAGTTAGAAACATTGATGAGAGAGGAACATCAATCAGCTGCCTCCTGCATGCCCCCTACTGGGGATGTGCCTGCAACCAAGGTACATGCCTTTGACAGGAATCGAACCCAGGACCTTTCAGTCCGCAGTCCGACGCTTTATCCAGTGAGCCAAACCAGTTTCGGCTAGGTAGAACATTTTAGACTAGTGACCTTCATCTTTAGAGAAAGTCCCAATGGGGAATGTGTTTATAAATACGATACTTTTAGAAGCATTTTTTTTTTAAATTTAAAGTCTATTCTTTTTGAACTACAGAGAATTTCTGCTGAAGGGAAATCACATAAATATGATATATTTAAGAAGAGCTTACCAAAAAAGTCATTTATAAAAAATGAGAATATCAATGGTGGAAAGAAACTTTCGGATTCTAATGAAAGTGTGGCAGCCGTCAGCCAGAGCAAATCTCTTACCCTTCACCAGACTTATAATAGAGAGAAAATCTATAAATGCAGTGAATGTGGGAAAGCCTTTGGCAAACAATCAATTCTTAATCGCCACTGGAGAATTCATACAGGAGAGAAACCTTATGAATGTCATGAATGTGGGAAGACTTTTAGTCATGGCTCATCCCTTACTCGCCATCAGATAAGCCATAGTGGTGAGAAACCTTACAAATGTATTGACTGTGGGAAGGCCTTTAGCCATGTCTCATCACTTACTAATCATCAAAGCATCCACACTGGAGAGAAACCATATGAATGTATGAACTGTGGAAAGTCTTTTAGTCGTGTTTCACATCTCATTGAGCATCTGAGAATTCATACTCAAGAAAAGCTTTATGAGTGTCAAATATGTGAGAAGGCCTTCATTCATAGGTCATCTCTCATTCACCATCAGAAAATTCATACTGGAGAGAAACCTTATGAATGTAGTGAATGTGGAAAAGCCTTTTGCTGTAGCTCACACCTTACGCGACATCAAAGAATTCACACTATAGAGAAACAATTTGAATGCAGCAAATGTCTGAAAGTCTTCAGTAGCCTCTCATTTCTTATTCAGCATAAGAGTATTCATACTGAAGAAAAGCCATTTGAATGTCAGAAATGCAGGAAATCCTTCAACCAGCCTGAATCACTGAATATGCATTTGAGAAATCACATTAGATTGAAACCTTATGAATGCAATATATGTGGGAAAGCCTTCAGTCATAGGTCATCCCTGCTTCAACATCACAGAATTCATACTGGAGAGAAACCTTATGAATGTATTAAATGTGGGAAGACCTTCAGTTGTAGTTCAAACCTTACTGTACATCAGAGAATTCATACTGGAGAAAAGCCATATAAATGTAATGAATGTGGGAAAGCTTTTAGCAAAGGCTCAAATCTTACTGCCCATCAGAGGATACACAATGGAAGGAAGCTCAGTAGTGCTCTAAGTGTGGGAAAACCTTTAGACTACGTAAATCACTATATGTGTGAAAAATCATATATGAGAGAAACTGTATGAATGCAGTGTTTTCATAATACATTTCAACCATTGATCCTCCCTGATTCAGCATCAGAAAATCAATATTGGAGAAAAGTCTTATGAGAGTAATGACTATAGAAAGGTTTTTAGCAATAGTACAAGCCATATTGTCCAGAGTTCACACTGAAGAGAGACCATATGAAAGCAATAAATGTGAGAATGTCTTTAGCCAGTATTAATCCTTTGGTAAGTAAATCCACACTCTATTTACTGTTCTGTATATGTAATAACAAATATGGGGAAGACTTGGAAATATGAGTCTCTGAGGAAATATGTACAGACATATACAAGAGAGACAAACTATGAATATAAAGTTGTGGCAAGTCTTTTAGTTAAAGTGTATTCCTCATTCTACATCAAAGAACTTACACTGCAGAGAAAGCTTATGTCAGAAATGTAGCAAAGTATTTATCGATACTAAGAGTTCTTATTGGACATGAATGTCTGGAACAACCTGTGTACTAATGCTAGAACAACCTGAAGGATGTAGGACTTACGTGTAAATCAATGATGCCATTTGTAAACAGTTACAGGAGAGCAAACAAGCATATTATAAATAAATATGCATTTCTTATAGCAGTCGCTTGCAGTTTTTAAGTCCTACATAGAAATTATCTAGTTAATGGGCATTGGAAGATACTTAGTCACTCAGTGGACTGAGTAAATGTTATAAAGATGAAAATTAAATCTGCAAAAGAAGTAAAAAGTGGTGTGAATGAAATTCTTGATCTCTAATAAAATCAGTTGTATATAATAAACTCACAGTGACACTGATATATCTTGTAAAACTTTCTATTACTTTTCTCTTGATGAATTACGATCAGACTGACAATAGCCTTTAGTGGGAAACTAGCAAACCTAAAGAAAAACTGGCCCAGCCAGTGTTGCTCAGTGATTGAGTGTCAACCTGTGTCTTAGGAGGTCCTGGTCCAGTTCCTAGTCAGGGCATATACCTGGGTTTCAGGCTCAATCCCCAATAGGGAGCATGCAGGAGGCAGCCGATCCGGGATTATCATCATTGCTATTTCTATCTCTTCCTCTTATTTTCTGAAATCAATAAAATATATATGTTAAAAAAGGAAAACTACCTAATCTCTGTGCTAAGAATTTCATTGTTGGTAAGGACATTTCATAGTCCATTATCATTGGACTAATTCACACATTTAAATTTTTAACAAGTACTTGTGAGAACATAATCAAGAAACAACATACTATGAGGGATCAGAGCAGGCTTCACTGTGGATATGGTTTTAAAAATTTTTATTTTTAAAATTAATTTCAGAGGAAATGAGAGAGAGAGATAAAAATATCAATAATGAGAATCATTGGTCTGCTACCTCCTACATGCCCTCTAATCAGGTTTGAGCCCACAACCCGGGCATGTGCCCTGACTATGAATTGAACCAGGAGGTCATGGATCATTGCTCAATCAGCCACACTGACTGGCCTGGATATGATTTTAAATTAGAATCCTAAAGGATGAGGACTAAGTATGAAACTGCAAGCACACACAGTCTGGGGGGGTCATTGTAGGCAAAGCAGACCAGCAACTTCTGTTATATTTGCTGCAGGTGTCTAGTTTCAGGTATTATGGTTTTGGGGTATTCCTATTGGCAGCATCACTAGTAATAGCAGCAGTCATTTCTCCTTCCTCGAATCATAGTTTTAGAGGTTTATCTTGAAATTAATAGTCCAGAGCTGTTTCTATTACTTCTCCAGTCCACCTACCAATTTTCTATAATATATGCCTTGAAATAAGAGTTTTTGTTTTCTACAATGAACCTTGATAGATAATTATGGCTTATAAGGAGCATGGCTTCAAATATTATCTTATATAAGAATTACATAAGAGATGGAATAGTCTTACTTGGTTTCCTGTCTCACATGGTTTCCTGTCTCCCATGGTTTCCTATCTTGTGACTAGAAAGGTAACATAGATCAATGTTACCTTGGAAGTAAAGGACAGTTTGGAAGTAAAGGACACTTACAATGTTACCTTGGAAGTAAAGGACACTTGGAAGTAAAGGGCAGTTTATGTAATTATATTTCAGATTATGTTCTCTATGGCATATGATAATTGTAAGTAATAAATTATTTTAAACCAGGACAGTATATTCTGATATAATATTTCTGATGTGGAGTGTGTGATAGGGTTTCAGACTTTAGATAAACTACTACTCTAGTACATATGATACTTTAACTAAAAACCAAGAAGTGAAGGCACATTCCTTAGCAATTCTCAAGAGATAGTGGGTTTGGAATGAGATGGAGAATTTTTAATATGAAGCAGAGATTTATCGTTTCTTTGATTGTGAGGTTTTGAAATTCTAGGGAATGTTGAAGGATCTTTGAGAGATAATTAAGGAAGCATGGCATTCTCTATCCTCTCTCTGCTCTCTCAAGTACTGGTACTGCACAAATGAAGTAGTTCTTGAATTCCCCAGGTTTCTTTGCCTTCACTAGATATACTTTTATGTCATCTTGTTATTTCATGAGAGAATTCATCCAACTATTCATACATTGTCGTTTTAAAAGAAGCACACAACAGACTGGTGTATTTCAGAAAGGAATGGGGTGGGAAGAGATTAACCAATGAACTTATATATATGCATACCCCAAGGACAGACAATAGTGCGGGAAAAGCCTGGGGAGGAGCCAGGAGCTGGGAGGAGGGTGGATGGGGTCTAAGGGGGACATCTATAATACTTTCAACAATAAAGATTAAAAAGTAAAATAAACATAAATATACACATGATAATAATTTATAATTTTTGGTTTAAAATGCTTTTACAGTGATCCTGAACTAGGAGGAAAAAGTTGGAGTTTTATTTTATTTTTATATTTTTAAAATATATCTTACTGATTTTTTTACAGAGAGGAAGAGAGAGGGATAGAGAGAAACATCGATGAGAGAAACATTGATCAGCTGCCTCTTGTACACCTCCTACTGGGGATGTGCCCGCAACCAAGGTACATGTCCTTGACTGTAATTGAACCTGGGACCTTTCAGTCTGCAGGCCAACAAAAGCTAGAGTTTTAAATAAAAATAAAGAAGGTTGTAAAAAAGCAATGAGTACATTACCATGTTATGTTAAAAGATAAGGCTGAGATCATAATGATGTTATGGTCACTGATATAGAATCATGCTCAGTTATGTCTGTTAGCCATTTCTTGAGCATCAACTATGGGGCAGATAAATAAGGCAAATTCCATACCCTTCAAGAGCTCAAAAGTATGTGTACATATATATGTCTATGATTGTGTGAAAAACATAGGCTCTGGAGCCACGTTATCTGGATATATTTCCAAGTTGCATGTATAATGGCTTTGTGTGATGTTGGACATAATTATTTCACTGCACCATGCCTCCGTTTCCCATCTGTAAAATGGTGATAACACCTATTTCGCAGGATTATTATGAAGATTTAATGAGCTAGTTGGTGTAAAATGCTTATAATGCCTGGCACCTTAAAAGCATTCAATGAGTATTAGCTATTTTCATCATCATCATCATCTTCATATGGCTGCTGCTTTATTCTGGCCTGAAATGTCACATCTAGTGGGTCTTCCTATTCACCTATCACTTTTATCTACTTACTGATTCACTTTTTGTGGGGTTCTTACAAGACGATTTCATTTCCTTCCAATAAATTATCCTTGATCTCTGAGCCATTTTAAAGCAGAATATATTTATTACTCAAAATGCTCTGAGAAGACAAAGAGTGCCAGATAGGAGAAAGTGAGACAAGAACATAGCAGGGATGCAGGAAGGAGGGAAGGTGCCCTACAGAGCTGTTTGAGAGAAAGGACAGAATGAGGGAAGCTTCAGGTCCCCATAGAGAGGATAGGAGAGGCTTTATCCTGTGAGATGAGAAGCCTGAAGGACTTTAGGATCACTTCTCAGTATAGGGTCCTTTGAGTAAGTGTAACTGTCTTTATTGTTCCTGAATAGAGGTTACATGCATGTATTGAAGGTCACTGATGCCTGGAAAATTAGTATAGCTTCATTAGCTGTGGGCTACTCAGATGTGATTATAGTATATTGTGCAGTCATTGGTAAAGATCACAAAAGAACCAAGGCACACATCACTGAGCATTTCATGGGAGACTCTGTGCTGGGCACTAAGGGGGAGTCAGATGCTACCTTTCAACAGGATGTAATGTGTTAGAGAAAACAACATCAATAAGAAGCCACTGATAAAAGATATGACAAGGCTGTGTGTCTTGGGAGACACAAAACGTAAGAGGGTAAGTGGATGCTGCACAAGCTGGGCCCCAACAGAGCACCAGAACTGAGAAGGGAACCCACATAACATCTGGCTTGAAAAGCAGCAGGGTTGCTCTCTGTCAGGAAGAGATGGCTGGAAATTCAGGTACCCTTTAGATGGCCAATGCACAAAATTTCCTGTTGGAGCCACTCACCTTGTGCTCCAGCAGAGGGAGGGCAAAATGGACGAGCTGTGTGAGGGGACTCTGGGGTTAGATCTCAGAAGGCAGACATTCCAGTTTCCTGTGCTGAGTCATTTTCTCATGCTGAAGAGGTAATCTTTGTCATGCAGATATTAGCTATTCAGGTGGTGGTTCCTGGAGGGGGAGACAGTTGACCCATCCCACTGGGAAACACTCTAAGGCCCGTTAGCAGACTGAGAATAACAATTAGCCTCCAGGCAGAAGCAATTTTCCCAACCTATTTTAAAAAATGCTCACCATACCCATGGATAATTGAAAGCTATTCAAGACAGAATCCTATCAGTATGGAGACAGAGAGTCAGAGACAGCTTTTGACACTAAATATTGAGAGGCATAGTAGTTCTACCTAACACTATCAGAAACCCAAACAGACAGCCAAAATGAGATACACAGACCCCAAATGAAAGAATGAGAATTCTTCAGAGGAAGAAATAAATGAAATGGAGATGAATTTATCTGATACAATGTTCAGAATAATAATGGTAAAGATGCTCCACAACGTGAGAAAA